AGTGCGGCAGCATGTGCTGGAGGTTTGGATCTACATTTAAAGACCAAATTGGGAAGAAACAAGAGGCAAAATCCCCAAATGGAGCCAGGAGAAGGAAATATTAAAAATATAACAACAGACACCGATTCTGTCGGTGTCTGTTTAACATCTGTCTCTGTTTCCTTGTTCATCTTCATTAGAGCTGGGCAAACTTTCTATAACTGACCTCAGACTAGAGGACTGTAGGAGCTTATTGCAAACTCCAGCACCAGGCTAGATCCTCTGAAAGATTTACATCATCTGCATGATTGAGACATGAATTCTTCTTAATGAAACACCAGATGTGGAAGCTTTGATCTCAGGAAACCCTGGACCAGAGTGCAATCTGTGTCTCCCCATCGGAACTGCAGATAACGTCGTTTTTTGTATGGTCAAGTTGTGTCCTACTGTCCCTCGTCAAACTGGGTTTTGATGGCAATGCATCTTTGTTGTATCAGCAATAGCATGGCCAGCAGGACCAGGACTGTAATCGTCCCCCTGTACTTGGCACTGGTGAGGCCGCACCTCGAGTACTGTGTCCAGTTTTGGGCCCCTCGCTACAAGAAAGACCTTGAGGTGCTGGAGCGAGTCCAGAGAAGGGCAACAAAGGTGGGGAAGGGTCTGGAGCACAAGTCTGATGGGGAGCGGCTGAGGGAGCTGGGGGGGTTTAGTCTGGAGAAGAGGAGGCTGAGGGGAGACCTGATCGCTCTCTACAGTGACCTGAAAGGAGGGTGCAGCCACGTGGGGGTCAGTCTCTTCTCCCAAGTAAGCAGTGATAGGACAAGAGGAAACAGCCTCAAGTTGTGCCAGGGGAGATTTAGATTGGATATTAAGAAAAGTTTCTTCACCGAAAGGGTTGTCAAGCCCTGAGACAGGCTGCCCAGGGAAGTGGTAGAGTCACCATCCCTGGAGGTATTTAAAAGACGTGTAGGTGTGGTGCCTAGGGACAGGGTTTAGTGGTGGGCTTAGCCGTGCTAGGTCAACTGTTGGAATCGATAATCTTAAGGGACTTTTCTAACCTAAATGATTCTGTAATTCTTTGATTCTATGATTATTAGTGGAGTAGGGCTTGTGGAAGAAGACATTGCTATATGTCCTGGCTGTTTCATTGGGTCAAGACTGAAAGTTTCAATCTTTGTCTATTTACTGCAATGAGACAATGGAAATAATGTTTATTCTGGCCTTCTTCATGTTGATAGTCAGTGATAGATACTAAAGGCACATGGTCTCAAGTCAAAGATGTAGTAAAAGTGAAAAGTATTTCTGTTTATGACTGGGGTTTTTTGGTTTTGAGGTTTTTTTGTTTTTTTTTTTTTTTCGTTCTAAACTAAATTAATCTTCTGGGCATTTTTTTAAAATTCTTTCCTATGTTCCCGGAGCCAGGTAGGGCATATGCTGGGGTGTCCACATGCAACGTAGACACCAAACTCAGCTCTTTCTCCAAGTGCTGGGCTTTCCCCATGCTGCTTGGTGAACCGGGGAGAGCCACAGTGCAGTGGCCAAGCAAGGACCAAGGGATGGAGCCGCACACACCTTGCAGGTGGTCGCAGCAGGCATCCGTACAGAAGACGCAACTGCGGCCACTCTGCTGATTTATGCCCAACTCTGAGTCCCTGGGCAGGGCTAATACTACTCTGGATCACAGCCTGACACTTGAGCTGTTCCCAGGGTTAAATGCTTTTCAAGTAACTGCACTTGGCTACTCCTCCTTTGACTTTTTATTTGCTGGGAACCAATATTGAAATCAACAGGGGAAAAAGGTTCCTTGTGCTGTTGTTTGAGACAGCGTGCTCCATGAGCCAGTGCCAGCAGCAAGGCAGGAGCAGTCCTCTTCCACTAATGAGAAATCTCTCCTATCCTCTCTTTCTGGTCTGAAAATTTTGTCTTAAATTTCTTTAAGACAAAGACCTAATTCTGCTCTTACTGCCTGCAGTTTCAACTCTGCCTCCTGTGCACTACTCACAATTGCCATAGAGAGGGTAAAGCTGGTGCTGCTGCTAAAAAAAAAAAAATATCCCAGAATAATAAAGGCTCTAACAAACAAACTGCAGGAGCACTTTGTGAGTGCCCAGGTCTGTTCAGAGCAGGATGCCAAGTCCCATCTCAGCAGGGTAGAGGGGGTTGAGAACAAGACTAGTTTTAGACAAACAGACCACATCTCCATGCATTTAGAGCTCAAATGCGCTCCCACAGCTGCCCTTGCTGGTTTGCTCCTGGAACAGCATTGACTTATGTCAGTCTTTGAGCATCATACAGGGAGCAGCATTCCCAATGGCATTACGGTTGAGTTAACCCTATTTTGGAGGAGAAAAGCCATATGGACATAAGCTCTATATGGAAAGAAGCCATGGCCTTGGGTGCTGAGTTGCAGAGCATCCCTGGGAGATGAACCCCAGCCATGACCCTTGCCCACAGCAAGGAGACTCTATAGGTGAGTGCAAAGGTAATGCAAATCCCATGTGCCATATCGCAGAGTCACCACACAAATAAATGGGAGCACAGGTCCCTTGATTCTCTGTGTGTACCTGGGATGCTGTTGACCCTCTGAATAAGCAAGTGGCTGCGAACTTACCGGCTGTTCCTCCCGAGTTTGTGGATTAAGCTCTGGTTTGCAATGCATCATTTAAGAGGTTGCAAATATTTTCCGTGTATTGAAATAAAATTATAAACAGATTGAGCCTGGGTACAGTAGATCCACTGGACTAAATCTGACTAAGAAAAGCTTTCAATTACAGAATGAGGCTTAAGGGGGATGGGGAGTGAGCTGGCATGGAGGGAAATTTTGTCATTTTAATGAAAAAAATTTTGTGGAAGTATACGCTCTGCAAACATTGAAGGAGAGAGTACTTGTGCAGGAAAGCACGTGACGTACATCAGTATCTACTCATGCAGCCTGTCTCTTGAATATAACACAAGTAACTGTATGAAATTGCAAAACAGCACGCACTGCATTTTCATGGGGAAATGTGCTGTATTCAGTCATATTAATTACTGCGTGGGCTCAATTTTCAGTGCAATCAATCCATGGGAAACAAAAGGGCTGCAGGGGAAATATAAAAAGACAGTCAGCTAATAGGAGCCAGATTCAATAAAACTGTATCTGCCTTCAGTGAACGGCAAGGCAGAGGTGTATCCGTTCTCCCTTGGCAAGGCACACGATGGATCGGGCAAAGGGTGTAGGGTTGAGACAGAGGGGGCTTGGAGCAACACCCTGTGTATATATACATACAGATATATATATATGAGAAATACAACTCCTACTGTGACAAACTAGGAAAGAAAGGGTTTTAATTCAAGTTTTTCTGCGCAATGTTCAAGGTGTCATCTCAGAGCAGGTTGTGCTGTGATGACACTTCTGTCAGTGCAGCCTTTACCTGCCATGCCTCCTTCCCTGCTGTGCCATGGGTCACAGGCTCTCCAATTCAGTGCCAGGGGCTTTCCCTCGCCCCACTGTCTGCCCACCACTGCAGCTCCAGCCTCTCTCTGCCAAGGGCAAGCAGCAAGCCCCAGGGCTGCTGGTACGGCCAGGGGTCTCCTGGGTGGACTTCAGACCCTGGGTGAACTTAATCTTTACTGCAGAGTTTCAGTTTAATGTCGATATTTTACCAAACTCTTTGGTTTGTTTGCCTAGCACTTGACAAGAAGATTATCTGGTTTTCTTTTTTTTCTTCCAAGGTTGCTTTTCATTTTCGAAGTTGGATGTGTTCATTTCTAGCAGCAGCCTTCTCTCCCATTCAGGCTCTAAACTTCCCTAGGAAGTGACTTCATGGCATTATTCAAGCAGATTATTGCTTGGAGTGGCTGAATTACCTAGTGTTCATGTAATGGCAAGCTCCCAGTCCATATGTATTTAATGACCGTAATCATTTATTATTTTCCCTTTATTAGGTTTGTTTTTAGAGAAAGTTTTACTGTGCTATTTATGATATGCTAAGTGGTGCAACTTGCTGAAAAAACATATCGCATACATTTTCTTTTTTAATAGGTTTTGCTTGTTAAAATGAAAATCTTTTATTTACCCTAGTAGGGCAGGTTTTTGCTGGCAGTTTTATTATTTCAATTACTCAGACATTTCTTTCCCCAGATACTCCTCCAGGGAGTTTTAATGTGTCCATTCTTTATTTAAGATTGGCTTCAGAGCGTGTTATTTCTAGCAGGGCAGAGGAAAACTGTAATATAGCAGACATTAAATACTGGGATGTCAAGGTTTTATTTTCTTTCCTCTTTGAATTGTGGAATCCTTTCCCCATCTGTGTCATCTGGTGATTAATTGCACTGATAATCTGCGCTCCCTCATCAATAACTGTCTGCTACCAGTGGCGGGCAGAGGTCATGCTCTGCCTAAAGGGTTTGTGACTGTTGATAAATGAATGTACATATATGAGTAAAGGAGGGGACCTCCAGGAGCATTTCAAATTGCCAGAGATGCAGAGTCCTTTAATAAACTAATGCTCTATAGGTACTGACAATACTGTATGCATTTCAATCGCCAGTGGGGAAAGGAGAATGGAACCTTCCTCCAGGGCAAAACCCAAGCCTTGATCAGTGGAGTGAAAAGTGAACCCCAAGGGATGATACCAGTAGGGAGCCTTACAACCTCAATGGGCCAGCACCAGTGGGAAGGGCAGACCGAATTCACCTGTACAAAGTTCACTAGGATGGGACAGTGTGGAAACCAGTGTCTGCTCCCCTGGGTCTTACAGGGGTAGAGTTGTGATTTCCTTCTGCAAGTGCTAGTGAGTCCTTGACCACTCTCCAATGGGCGATGGATTTTATTTTCCATTATAGCACGACCAGTCCTTGGACTATGAGAAAACCAAAACCAAATGCTGGTTGGGACATTGGGGGAGACCCCAGGTCTCCAGACAGATGTGTGCTCAGACTACCTGTGGCTAGTGCATGTCCTTGACCATCCTTTAGCGAGGCAGAAAGCACATTACAAAGCATACACTCACCCTTCTGCATTCCATTGTGTTTTCCAGAGTGTCTGGGGGAGAACTTTTTGACCGCATTGTTGAGAAAGGGTTCTACACCGAGAAGGATGCCAGCACCCTGATCCGGCAGGTCCTGGATGCTGTCTACTACCTGCACCGAATGGGCATCGTGCACAGGGACCTCAAGGTATGACTGCAGCGTTACTCAGTCCTCTGGGCAGTGTTAATGAAGGTTGCATAATTATGGGAGTATAACACATGGGGGTCCAGCCTCCCCTGGGACTGGCTGTTTCAGTAAGGATTTACCATAGAAGAGGTGCTCTGAAGCCTCCCCATGTAATGGGTTTTAATGAGGACTTTGCAATCAATGCTGTTACAACAGGAGTTTTGCACATATGATGTGGAGAACAAGTCATTCATTAAGACCCAAAATGTTACATCAAGGCAGGAAACCCATCTCAGCTGGGATGTAAGTGTTTACTACTGTAAAATATCCTGCAGATTTGCTGTGCTGTATTTATTTTTACTTAATAATAATTAGCAACAATAAATAGTGTGGGAAAGTTGAATGATTTCCGATCACACTACTTGGACCACTGTTTTTGGAGACACTGTTAACAGCAAGGATTATTCTAAGGAACATTGTGTGTCAATACGATTTATAGATAATTTTCCTTTCAGCTCTACTGTGTTATCACAAGAAAAACTCTCAGCTTTTCTGGTTAAAAAAACCCCCAAACATTATTTCTGTATTGTTTCCTTCCAATATCTTAAACTGTCATTAAGATAAGCAGAAAGGCTCGGTTTTCATAACACACAGCTAAACCTCCCCATCTTTAGTATTTTAAATAATAAACTAGCAGAAGACATTAGAAAAAGATACAAATGTTGAAAAAAACCTGTGGATTCAATTCATAAGCTAGTCAATTCTACCAAAGTTTACTGCCAAAAATGAAGAATTCAGTGAATAAAGTAACACCTCTGGTTGTGTTTTGGAGGTGTGCTCCAAACAGGAGTTTCCTTGGATGTTGATGCTGTGGACTTGCTTTGTCCCCATATAAAGAGAGTGGAATTTGGCTAAATGGGTCATATTACGTAAAGGCTTAATGAACACTAATAGAGTCAAAAGCCACAAATATTTTTTTATCTTTTTTTTTTTTTTTTACTTATTAAATATAATTTTTTGTTAAATGTATTTTAAAATTAATAGTATTTTTAACACAATCTACTATTAAACTGCATGTTTGCAATTTTTGGCAACTCCTCTTAACAAAGGTTGTAGTGCCGGGAATGTGACCTTGCTGCTATGCCTTAAGATGGAGGAAAAATTGTGGTTATGAAAGATACTATTTATTTGCTTTTTATCTCCTCCAAAATTAGTGTTGATGTGAAATGCTCTGTGGTGTAAAATAATAAATGACAGGCTTGTTCCCAAAACATGGTGCAGAGGGGCAAAAATAGAGCCCGTTACTGGTGTAACCACCAGCACCAGAGTTCTCCAAGGTGGAGCAGTGCCCAAGACAGGCAGACGTGGCCTTGTTTTGTGACAGCCTGAATGCAACCATTTCCTTCTGCCGCTCTTTGACTCCAAATGTGAATATTTTAGCTGTGTGTGGGCCATTCCCATAGGATTACAAGCTTTTCCACACCTTACTACTGCAAGGGACTTGCCTCAGTCCTGTACATCTCTGCCAGAAATGAGCATCCTATGATCTTTGCTTCAATAGAGTAGAATAATAGAAGGTAGAAATATATTTTTAAAAGTATTAGTTTGGCACATTTTTAAGGCAAAACCTTGAATCTGGTGAAGGAAAATATACACTGATGTCCACAAACAGTATTTCCAGTGTTGTGCAGTTTAATGCTAACAGTCCCAAATAATGGGTTTTCTGTAAGGAGGCACTGGTTGGTCTTCCATCTCCTGCAACCTTCACATGTTGCCCTCAGTTCCCATTCATTTCCTGCTCTTATGCTGAAGTACATAGAAATATTCTCGTATTTATTAGAGTTCCACCGCGTTTCAGTATGGAAGCTGTGTTTCGTATTTTAACACAATGAGCTTTCTCCCAGGTTCTATTTGCAGGAAATAACTTCAGGCTTCTTTCTGCCACCAGTGGTTTTGGAGGGAGGTCTGAGTTCTCTTAATCCAGATACTCCCTTGTACAAGCTTTTACTATTCCTCTCTTTATAATTTAAAGGAAGACTGTAGTTCTCACTTTAAAACAGATTAATCTTATTAAAAAGTTCCTGTAATAAAATATGAGATCTGGTAATTGGGAAGTGGATTCATCTATGAATTACATTCAGAGCTTATGTAAGGACTTGCTGAATTTAGGTCAAACCAACCTTTTCCAGTGGTATTTTGGGGCAAAGATTAGCTCTTTTTCTCTTTCTTTTGTTTGCAAGTCTTTGTCAGTACCATATCAATTGTTTAAATGACACATAAAATATGGTATATGAGGAACACCTGCTGTGAATTTCTGTTAGCAGAAACACACCATGATAGCAAAAACAGGGATATAATAAGGCATTTTATGATCTCAAAATACCAAGATAAGTGTAAGTTTCAAATTGTGATCCCAAAAATGAAATTCTGGGAAAGAATCCTCTCTATAAAAATGCAACCCATGAAACATCTATAATGATTATTTATTGTAATTATGTGTTATTCAGATACCAAAATAGTAGTTGCTATAGTTGGGAAAAGCAGATCTGGGTTCCAAGTCTCTAATCCAAGTAACGCAGCAGTGGATAACAAGAGATGGCAGCAGATGAGGTCCAGGGAAGTCCAGGATGTACAAAGGGACTGAAAGGCTCAAGCAGCTCCACTTGGTACAGAGCCACCTTGTTAACACTTTTTGAATTAACCAGCTTGAAGAGCCAGAGTTCCTTTAAACGGGTTTTAAACAAGTTTAAGTTTTAAAAGGGTGGATTTCTTGGCCTTACTAAATATGAGTAAGTGGGAGCCTGAGGTGAGATGGCAGATATCATCAGGAAATGATTGTCTTTCCCTTAATACCAGCTCTACCATCCCTTCAGCAGATCAGAAGTGCACTAGTAAAAATCAGGAGAAACTCCAGCCAAGAGCAGACCATGGCATAAAACTGACTCGCATAATGCCTGGAAACAGTGTCAGCATTGTAACAGCCAGTTAACACATTGGATTTACAAAGTATCATGAGAAAGAAACATAAATGGTACAACTTCATAATTTTTTTTATGAACAGAATTGTTCCCTTTTTGCCTCAGTCCCAGCAGGCTCACAGCTGTGGATGCAGCTTGTAGATCCTCTCACGGCTGTTGTGTCCCATGGATAAAGCCATCACCATGTGGCTTCATGCTGGGGCTGGGAAGCCAGAAAGTGCTTTAACCTCCACTTGAACGGGAACCTCAGAGTAGGGAGGAGGCAATGTCACCCACTGGTGCTTCTTCGTCCTCCCTTTCCCCAGAGCAGGAGGTTACAGTGACGGAGGAGGGAGGACCGATGCTGGTACTGCTGCACTGCAATTGCTCCTCCTTACAAATCCAAGCTTGGATGTGTCCCAAGGAGTTTGATGATGTTGTGTGACCTCGCTGTTACCTGGAGCACACAGCAGGCTGATAGACAAAATGTGTTGGATGCAGGTGGGCATTTGTACCAGCTTCTGGGCAAAAGTCTACACCAGAGTTATGTTGAAACATTGGGTATCCGTCACTTTTATAGATGAAGACCCCAAGGTCTGGATGATGCAATGGAACCCCATTACCACCATGCTGTCAGAGGGCTGGCAGATGCTGGACTTTTTGGCAAGCCCAGCTATTAAACAGAGCTTAAGAGCTCTTAAGAGCTTTGCTGTGTAAGAGTAGCACATTGAGAACGTATGGATGGAGGACTATGCTGCAGCAGATGGAGGCTGGTTGGGCTCTCCAGCCCGCCTGGCATTGGTGTAAAGTCACAGGGCTTTGTGGAGTGATTCTTGTTTTCTCTCAGCATAAACAAGTTGCTGTGCTTAGTGCTGCAGCATTTTTTCCTAATCGTCTCTGGCTGAAACATCCCTGCTGAAAGTCTGTTAACTGTAAAGGCATTTCCTCTCTCGTAACAGTTTGTTTCCAGTGGAGAACATAAAAAAAGTCTCAAATACCTACTGTTTTCCTTTTTATTTGTTTAAATGCTGTATAAAAAAATTTCATTACACTATCTGGATTTACCATATTTACCTGCCTTCAAATGAATCCTGTTTTATCACTCTGAAGTGATAATATGTCAGACAAGTCTCACAAGTAAGGGACGAGCCTTAGTTCTTATTTGAAGTGCCAAAGGAGAAGTTTGTTAACCCAGGACAGTTACTCAGAGCATCAACTTCTTCCGTTAGTTGCCATTCAGGAGTCTGGAGAGGATCTCCACATAGGTTGTAAGAACAATTCTTTAGGATTTAGGGGAACCAAATTGTATTAGTGTACAATGTAACTAAGTATTGTATTAAATGCAATGCATCAACCAACAGACATTGTTACTGGACTTACATATTCAAAGCCCATTTTGCTTTTTCCCCTTTCTAGCCCGAGAATCTGCTTTACTACAGCCAGGATGAAGAGTCAAAAATCATGATCAGTGACTTTGGATTGTCAAAGATGGAGGGTAAAGGAGATGTGATGTCCACAGCCTGTGGGACTCCTGGCTATGTTGGTAAGAGGTTTGGTTATATTGTCCATCCACTCTTCCGAGCACCAGTACGGACACAGAGTGAAAAGCAAATACTACTTGTTTTCTAGTGCTGCTATGTAGTGCAAGTGAGATTTTACAGATGTTCATTAGATTTCAGAAGTTGCTGGTGCTCTGTCTTGTGTGCTGTTCTCCTTCAGGTCCCAATCCTGCAAAAGAGCTCTGGTTTTGTGGGATTCACTGTTGTTCTTTTAATCCTTTGCAGAATGAGTGCTCTCAAAGACACTGCCTGTAGCTAAATCAGGAGCACGTGAAGTACAGCCTCAAACGTACTGATTTTGCAAGCAGCTATAAAAACAAGAAGCTTTACCTAATGTAACACATTATTTTAATCATAAAGGATAGCATTTGCCAGATTACTTCACTAGAACACAGTTAAATGAAAGAGCTACATTTATTCAGACATGTTCAGTAATCCTCTGTTACAACCATATTAAGTTACTGACTCCTAGACTTCAGTATGCAAAAACTCTTTAGATCCTCAACCCTTCCTGGGCAGTATCAAATTGTTTCCTATCATTTATTCTTTACTTTTCTGTCCATTCAGCAGTGATTGTATCAGGCTACTGATTAGCAGTATGTTTACCAACATCCTTTTAAAAAAGTTAAAGTAACTGAATGTGAGAATTCTATGGCAGGTGATGACAGGGTCTGTTTGAGCAAATGTTATTTAAAAGGCTCACTTCATGCACAAGACATCCAACAAGCCTACAATACCAAGCTAGTCAGCTGAGACGGTAAAATTAAACTCTGAGGTATCCATGAAATACATTAAACTAAAATGGCAGTGGCTTCCCCAGGGATAGATTTGTCCCAAATCTTCCCAGCAGGAGAGACTTCATGTTTTCCAGCAGTCAGAGTCTCCTTTTGTTTTGCAGCTGCCACCTCAACTGTTTTCACAGCTCTGATGATACCGTGATACGAGAACTCAAACAGATTATGTGGTTATGATACAGTGATCCAGATTTATCCCAGAAATACCTTTTTCCAGGCATTATCTTCACACTGCACAGACACACTCTATCCTGATAACATCAGGAAAAGGAACAGATTTCTCTGGTTTCCTTTCGTGAAGCCATCAGCCCATCATTTTTTATTTTAAGACATATGAGTCAGGACACACTCTCTACAGCCTGAATAGCTGTCTTGTGTAATCACACCAGACTGGAAATCTTCTTCCAAAGCACTAGCAGGAATTGAGCTGAGACAGCAATTTTCATAATTTTTGCTGTCAGCTCTTCTGTCCTTAATTGATATGTTTTATTTTGTTCTGAAATGGGCACTGACTAGAATAAGTCTGCGAGACACAGGGAAGCTCAGATGATGTTTGCTGAAGTGCGGATGAAAATGAGGGAACGCGAGTCTGCCTGGGCCCTGAGTGATCGCATATGGCCTATGAGCGTAGCCATTTACATAAGAAAACTTGCTGTTTTGGAGAGGAAGCTTTCAGAGCATATGACAGGAGCTGTAGTGCTTTGAGAGACGCTCGAGAGCTCTCATTACTCATGGTCTGGGCACTGACGCCTTCAGCACAAGTGCCTTCAGGCCTGTTGTTACCTTACTGAACGCAGGACTTACTCATCACAGTTCAGGAGGTCACGGTCGCTTATTTCTGAAGTGCTAACAGGAGTTTTTCCCTTCTTTCACAAAGAAAACCTCTTTAAATATTTGTTCTATTTCTTTTTTTGCACAGAAGGCAGCTCCTCTTTAGCGCTGATTTTTTTTTTTTTTTTTTGTAATATAATTGGTTGCCCAGACAACATTTTCCAAGCACGGAAAATTTTTGTTGTCAGTCACTGCGGTGATGCCCACAAATGGGCCTCCGTGAGTGTTACACCTGATGACACGGCTTCTGCATACATGGTCTGCAATTTGTCCACTTCCAAAAGCTTTTGTGCCTTCCAGCGTCACTCCAATTTGCAGCACCTGCCTAATGCCTTCAAATAAGTGTAAGAGTCCTTCCTCCTGATGGCACAACATGAATAGGTGTCCCCACCTGGATTGAGGCAGACACATACCGCAGGGCTGGCCCATGAAGTGTCCTGTCTGCCACCTATTTCTGTGGGTTTTTTTCCAGCCATTTTACCTAGAGTTGAAGTAACACTCAGAGATCCATCACTCAGAACACATTTCCTGGTGTTTTTCTTTAAAGACATGTAGAACACTCCATTTTCTAAGATTTTATGAGGAGTCAATTATTTTTTTCAGTTTAACCACTTTGCTTTTAAATGAATGGAAAAAAATTAGGCATGTATCACATGTCAAAGGCATCCAGGGCTCTGCTAAGAAGTCATTAGCATCTACTACTATTTATACTTCATCTCCAGAAATGGAGCCAGTCGGATCCCGCTGTGCAAAGTGCTGGACAAGCTTCTGACTTGGTAGCAGACCTGATCTTGACTCACGTCTGCTGCCCAAGTATTTGCAAGTATGCAAGCCCCCCCGACATTTCGGTCTAATTTCCTTCATTAGGATACATTTTCAACTCTTTGTTTTCAGTTTTTAACTCAACCTTTCTTAGTTTCATCTCCAAAGAACAGTGCTACCTGAGACACTAAATTCCTGTTTATGTGGTTCAGAAATTCATTAAAGAAGGGAGGGTGTAATTACAGTTAAACCTCTTAATAAACATCAGTTTTCTTTCTGAAAATCAAAGTATTAGTTATCAAATTAGAATATGTCTAAAATGTACATAATCAGTAGCGCATTAACACTTTAGCTTTTCAGGCTCTGCCTTACAGATTAAAGTATTGTCAACAGTTCAGAGATCTTATTCCTTCAGGAGTTTTGTCAGAGATTTTGGTCCTATGGTGAAAGGATGATGGTTAAGATACTTTAACCCAATTAGTTGAACAGTTTTTAAGATGTAAATCTAAATATTTACTTACTGAAGAGCGGGTCTGATAATACAACCTTTTCTAATGAAAAGGTCTTGCATTTTCTTATCTGCTTACCACTCTTGCCTCTCTCTCCATTTCTTAGGGAAGGAGCTTAGGTGATAAGCTGGGACTAGACACCCAACTTTTAGACAGCACCTAAATTGAGTAAGATGAGGCAGATTGTGTGGCTCATATCATTGCAATTAGGTATTTGGACTGGCTTGCATGGATCCAACTCCATCGTCTAAACTGGAGAAGTGATGTTTTCAAAACCCTGAGTGATCTGTGTGATTATGGGCAGGATCTGTATAAGCCATTAGTGATTTATCATTTTAAACATCATAGATTTGGGTTGCTCAGCTTGAGACTATTTATAAGAACTTGATTTTGATGAAGGAGGTGTTCCAAACTGCCTGAAAATTAGTCATGCTTGAAGTGTGTCAAGTTGGGTGCTCACCAGGAGGTGACTCCAGTCACTCAGCAATTTCCTCTAAAGAGATTTTGGATGTTTGGGAATTGAGTTTCACTGACTGACTTTCACACAGAATTGATGAGGTTGGAAGAGACCCCCGGTATCATCGAGTCCAACCTTTGCCCTAACACCACCATGTCCACTAGACCATGGCACTAAGTGCCACGTCCAGTCTTTTAAACACCTCCAGTGACGGGGACTCCATCACCTCCCTGGGCAGCCCATTCCAATGCCTAGCAACCCTTTTTGTGAAGAAATGCCTCCTCATTTCTAGACTGAACTGCCCCTGGTGCAGTTTCAGCCTGTGCCCTCTTGTCCTGTCACTAGTTGTCTGGGAGAAGAGGCTGGCTACAACTTCGTACTGAAAACTGAGGCAAAGAAGGCGATGAGCATTTCTGCTCTTTCCTCGTCCCCTGTCACTACACTACCCTCTGCATTCAGCAAATTCTGTGAGAGCTGGTCTCTCAAAAGCTTTGGTTATTTCTGCAGATGGGACTTAGACTTGCAAGACACTTGGAAACACTGGAAAGTTGGAAAAAAATGTTAGAAAGCCTGTCTTGAGCAATCTCATCTCCTTTTGCAGAAATCCTGAATTATGAACCGTGTTTGTGACTGGCTAATATCTTAATTGTACTGAGATTTAAAATTCTTGCTCTGAGTTCTATCCCACTTCAAGTAAAATTTTCTTGTATTTCCCTACCGTAGGAATTGGGCTGGACCCTGGATGTGTGGTTGGTCCCTGTACACCCCACCTCACTCACTGTTTTTATTTTCTGTAATGTTTTTATGAAAGGTCATTTCACAACCTTCAGCTCTGCCAGAAATCCAGTAGCAATTTCAAACCATATCAAAGCCATGCATTTCTCTTAGCCCTGCACAAGACCGAAGCACTTAAGTAAACAATAGATTTGCATGTTGAATTTTGACTTATTCAGTATCCTTTGAGTCAAAGGTTTGAAAAATATTCAGTAAGTCTTTGGAATATCCTTATGAGCAAAAAGCAACCCCAGGAGTTGTTTAGGCAGTAACATGAGTAATAAAGTAAAAATAAAGCATGGGAACGGTCCTCACCAGAGTTTGCTCGGGCACAGGCTTGTGACAGTGTGATTGCTCGAGCTGAGCCATACCCTGAAACAGGGTTTGCTTGCAGGTGGATGTAGCTGTGTTATGTTCCATGACAGCCGTCTAGATCTGACTCAGCAATATGAAACAGGGACAACAGGAGCACAACAACACTGGAGGACTGTATGAGAGAGGGCAAGAAGTTGTTTTCATCCCAGGAATCAGTGGAAGAGAGACTCTGGTCTTGTGAAGAAGCCGCTTCGTATACCTCTTAGCCTGTTTGCACCATGAGGAAGACACTTTGTACAGCGGCAGAGGAGCTCAGATTGCTCTTGCACCATCTTTGAATTCAGGAGAGGGGCTGGGTTGGCCCTTCGTGCATCCAACCATCTTCTCAGTGGTGCAGGGTTGCTCCTCTCTGTCCATCTTCTTGAGTTGGTACCTTCAAGACTCCTAAGCAATGGGGCTGGCACCATTTCCCTTTGGTGTCCCTTACAAACTCTGCCTGTTTCTCACCTTCCCTCTCAGATTTCATGGCCATCTTGTACCTGTGCAGCCCATTCACGTTTCCCCTTCTTTACTTGCAGGACATGCCTACGTGACAGAAACTGGCATTAAAATTTGCTTGGCCAGCTGAGCTACGTCCCTTCCCAATGTAAACAGGTCCCTGCTTATTTTAACCCTATTTAGATCTTTCTATTCCTCCCACATATATGGCAGCCTGCTGATTTGTCACTCCTATGGGGATCTTCAAAATCATCACCCTTTGTTCAAATGCCTCATTCCTTCTGGCATGCAGCTTGTGGGAAGCCATATAAACCACAGAAAATAGCATTAGACTGAGTTTTTGTGAGACAGCAAAATCTGCTGGGAGTAGCACCATCATGGGAGTGAAGGAGAATCACTTTTAAGTATGAGGCTGGTATGAAGAACAGGCACCCTCATGACTTGTACAGTTTGTTCAACAGACTTAAAGTATCAGAGCAATCCCTGTCACTTGAGCTCTTTGCAAGAACGTGGATTGCTGGTTTTGGCATCCAGCAGCTGCATTTTTAGGGAGCTTATTAGCATAGCTGTGCTCACTGGGGGTAAAGGCATAGTGCTCTGAACGGTTTCCAAATATTCCTGTTCTGTACCTTTTCTTAAAATCTCCATTTCAAACAAGCTTTTTAATTTTTTCTCTTATGAAAAGAAAAACATAACTAAATACCCCCCCATACCCCACCCCACCCCCCCCCAACTATAAACCAGCAGATTATCTGGCTTGGAAAGCACATCTTCATGTACCTGCAGGTGGGATGAGGCCTTGGGACCATTACCCAACATTTACCTCCCACATGTTGCTGTTAACAATGCTAATTTGGCCTGAAAAATAGTTCCTGGATGTGGAGGGAGGGTCCACGTTTGCTTCATTGTCTTTCCTGTCTCTGGATGACTGTTGTGTAGCATTTGAGCCCATAGTGATTCCCTGGGGAGGTACGATACTGGAAGCCTTTGCTGAGCTGGCATCTCCCCCGCACCAGAAATGTGAGCTTTTTTCCCTTCTCCTTACTGCTGTTTTGTCTCCTCAGTTGTTGGTGTTGATCCTTTAACGCCGTGAGCTCTTGGATCTTTTTCATTGAGTCTCCTGCCTTTGCCCCTTGGCACTGATCTACTGTCATTTCTGAGAGCTCCTCTGACTTGTTTTTAAGCTCGTTAAATATTTCTGTCTTTTCCATATATCAGAGACAGATGATGCTTAGCTATGTTCTCCTGTTCCTGTTGCACGTCTGCTCTTTGGAACAAAAATCAAAAGCAGCCATTTGGCCTTAAAATAATTATTTAAACCTCCTGCTTTTCCTCACTAGAGTTTACCAAAGGAGAGGTAAGAGCCTCACATTTGCTTTGGGCTTGATCCTGTGGTGTTCTTACCTGCTTCAGAGCCACCATCCACAGCAGCAACTGTCTGTCGTCAGTGCTCTTCATCTTTTAAAACAGAGAGAAATGACCCAGCACAGATATGACATTTTAAGAGGGAGAATCTTTATACAGTTCATATCCCCTCATCTCAGATTTGTTTTCAGTTATGTTAATGTGGCATATCTGTACAATGTCAGGAGCTCACTAGGATCTGTGATGCTCAGGAGCCATTTGCATAATATTTTCTTTGGAGGATATAAGATGTATGATGTTTACCAGTCCTGAAAATGATGCAAACTGGAGCAGACAGTCAAAGGTAGAAGAGATATGTGAATAAAATATTAGGAATTTGGAAGTACTGGAGAGTTGGAAGGCATCTAATCACCTGAGGACAGGGGAAGATTAACTCCCTTCTTCCACATATTTAGTCATAAAATTCAGTCACAAGGAGTGGAACAAAAAAGGAAATTGAGTCTCACAAACGCTATTTGATGCGCATTTTGAAAAAAAAAGATTCTTTTTAGAGGAACACTTGGAGGCATATTTCGATGAACCAGTCAGATTAAGGGACATAAGAGTTGTCTGGGAAGGTTGTCTTGAGCAACTTTGAGGAACAGCTGTTTTATACAAGAGAAATGTAAATTTGCCAGACTGTCCCAGCTTGCCAGGTTATCTGGAAAGCAATGACAGGCCAAATAGGATGGTTTCTCAGTGCTTTATTCTTTTGTTCCAAGTTTGTCTTCAAATTCACGCCCGCCAGACTGACTACCACCCAGCTGACACACAGACCCTGACCCAGCCGTTGGAAAAGGAGTTACATTTTGGGTGCCAACTGTAGATAACTTTTGTGTTTCCATAGCTCTGTCCCCTACTGTAGTAAGAACATTTTAACATTTATCTTGATAGACTACAGAAGTGTGGACATGTCCTTGAAGGAAGGAGTCAGGGACTTTTGAGGAATTGGAGTGCAGGTTTCTGCCAAGCACCTAGGGACAGGTTAGGAGCTGTTCATGCCAGGTACAGTGGAAAGAAACCTCCTTTGGCATGTAGTGGATAGGTGTTGGAGTATTCGCACATTACAACAGTGTATTAGGATTAACAATATATGAACAGAACCATCATTTTAATTTCTTATAAATGCAGTGGTGCCAGTTTGCTGGATGACTTGAAGACTGGGGTGTAATATTTAACCTATGCTGCAGGTTGGGGCATATCCCAATCTTCAAGAGTTTTCGTAGTCTGTGTGTCAGCTATATTTTTACCCATATTCCTCTGGATTTTCTTCCTTTTTACAATGTGTCCCCAGTGCGCCTTGACCCTTTCCGTCATTCTGCTGCTTGTGGAAATGTAACTTGGATGTCCTCATCTGCCTCGTGCACTGTCTTCCCTTCAATCCTTTCTATAAGCTCTCATGCCCAAGCACCAGAAAAATCTTCTCTGTTTCTTATTATTGCTTCCTGTTCCTTTCCTTGCTGGCAGTTTTGACCTTAGTTTTGTTGACTTGTCTAGCTTAAGAAGATAAATCTTTGAAGAGTCCTTACCAGTACACCAAAGCATACGTAGCAACTAAATGTGAAGCTAAAGTTTTAATACATTTACGTGCTTCACGATTTTTTTGCGCTGTTCTTCAAGTAACTAACTACTTTGGTGTTGGTAAGACTCCTAGCAGAGGAAGGTGTAACTCCAAAGAAATACTTTTGCTGGGACTTGCCCCTTTATGATTTTTTTTGCACCATTTGAACTCCAAAGTACTCAGAGGAAATATCATGCTTTTTAAAACCCAGTGTGGCAAGTCTGCTTTAGGAATGCTGTAATCAGTGATTTCTTGCATTATTGTGAACATTTTACTTTGAAAAAAGCAAAAGCTTCTTTACATGAAAAAGGTTTGAGTCACAGAGTTTTAAAATTTAGGTTTAAGCATTTGCATTGAAAGGTCCCAACAGGGAAAACATAATACTCCAGGCTCCCAAACAAAAAAATGTGCCTTTTTCACTCTCACTGGTATAAGGTTGGAAAGCAGACCCACAAAAAGTTTCAATAAATGCTCTCACTTCTAACAAAACTCAGACTATGGTGGCTAAAAGCTATAGAGGCAGAAGGCTCAGTTCCTTCGTGCATGTGTCCAATTCCCACTGTTTTTCATTTCTCCCTCCGAGGTGTCTGTGTTCCCAGAGGCAGGAGGACAAATGACTCCCTCTGCCTCCGACATCCATCAGGTTTTGGAAGGCAGCTGGTGGGAGGTATGGGGACAGCTCTCTTTCCTCTCCTGCAGATGTAGCTTATCGCATCCCTGACACGCTGCACTTTCCGAGTTGCATCTTGAAATCCCTGGGTTGGCAGCACGATGTGGTGGAGCTGCGAGGCTGTCAGGGCGAATGTGCAGTCTCAGCACTGCTCCAGAACTTGGCCTCGTTTTCTTCCAAATCTCCTAAAGTTCCTCTGACAGGGAGGTGAAGGCCTTCTGCCTCTCATGCATTTTTGTGTGCTTGATTTTGTTTTCTCTCCTTGCAGTCAGAAAATGGGGAATTTGCTCCACTTTAGGAGTCGTCACTTGTGAGAATATGAGCTTCAAAAACCTCAGGATATTTGCAAAAGCAAGGGCTGTACGTGGAGGGCAACACGAGGTCTCAGGGAGCTTCAAGTTTCAGGGTCCTTCCTCTTGATTGCATTCAAACGTTTGGTCTTGTAACACATGCTTGTTTGGCTTTTTATTTTCAGCTCCTGAAGTGCTGGCTCAGAAGCCCTACAGCAAAGCCGTGGACTGCTGGTCCATCGGGGTGATCGCGTACATCCTGTGAGTATCTGTTGGGTTTTCAATCACAGGCACCTTTGGGATCGGCAACATGCTCGCCCACCATATAGTTACCCACTTAGTCTGGGCCAAAAAAAGTTAATCACCGACCCTTGTGACCCAGTTTAACATGAACCCAGGACACATCCCAGTTACATAAAGGCTGAAATTTGGCCAGAAGTGGTAGGAAATGAACCAGGACCCTTCAAAAGCCAAAATCCTTGCTCCCACCTGAACTACACTGTGTGCAATAGTTCGGGCTTGTCTAGGTTGTGACATTAGTGAAGTTACTACATCCCATGTTCAGAATAGCTTTGACATGAAACAAATTTGGCAGAGTCCACAGAGCACAGCATTGTGCCCACAGGCATATCCTGAAGGGCCACCTCTCTCAAAGCACCACCAAAATGGCTTTTTGTTTCCCAGGAAGGGCACAGATGGAGATAAGGGGGAAAGAGATTTTCATGTACTGCAATGAATTATTCTCATCAAAACATAATACAAAGTATTGAGAGTTTTACTGAGAATGAGGGATCATTTTCCTTAACACAACCAGTCATCGGGTCCCACAGGAGAGGGTGAGCTGATTTGTGTCCTGTCAGTTCTGTTACTCTTCCATCAAGCCATTAAGCCTCTGCATTCTTGGCAGAGATTTTCTCCTCTAATAGGGCTAGTTGCTGCTGAAAGGAGTGGGGATTGGTTGTTTGAGAAAGCTACAGGACGAGGACTTTTGTGCATTCTTCAAAGTGGTGGATAGATCCCAGAACTCATATGTTTATGGAGATTTAGTGCCTGTCCTCATTCGGTACCTGCCGCCCTTCTTCACAAAGGCTTAATAGGATAATTTAGATTGGAGGGAACCTCAGGAAGTCCTGTCCTTGAAGTCAGACTAGGTTTCCTAGGGCTTTGTCCAGTTGGGTCTTGAAATCCTCCGAAGACAGAGGTCTGTGGGCAACCTGTTCCTCGCTTGACTGACCTCATGGAGAAAAGGTTTTTCCTTATATCCAGACTTGTCTCCATGAAAGGGGCAGCCAGTACTCTAGATACGGGTGCACCTTCAGTGCTTGAGCCGTGGAAGTAGGTAAGCCACCTCCTGCACCAACAACAACACTTTGAAGGATGAGAGAGATGTCCTGGCCCCTGTGGTCACAGGGACATCCTGGTACCAGGGGTCATCAGTGCTGTCCAGAGAAGGGCATCCCTAACATTCCTGGGCACTATCGTCTGAACCCAGCTCTGTGTGCATGAGTATATGAAATGACTGCTAATATTTGGATTGAGAAGGAGATGCAGAACTTGTTGTCTGTGAACCTGCAGGAAAACTCCCTCTAGCTTAGGGCCCTGTCTTCATGGAGTGGTCTGTGCTCAGGGCTCAGGTCTGTGAGTCCATGCATGTCATTCAAATAACGATGGCGTAGGTTGCACCTGTACAGCCTAGCAGACTTTGAAGCAAGAACTATTCATGTGAGTCTTTGAGAGGAGGTCAGGTTTTCATCATGGGCTGACTCAGGGTGACCACGCAGAGCACAACAAGCCTATTCCTTTTGTGCAAGAGAGCACAAAGCTGCTGTGTAGCTGTTGACTGCCGCAGAAACAAATGTCTTTTCGTGCCAGCATTACCAGTGCTTTCCCTTTTTTTTTATTTTTCCCTTTTACACAACTGTCACAGTTATACAAGACTGAAGGAAAAAGCTGCTCCAGTGAGGCACAGCATTAAAGCATTCCTACTTCGTTCCTTTTCTCCTTATGCAAACATTTCATGGCTTGTCAACGTGAATAACTTTTTGATGGTGTAGTAGAACTATTTTTGCCAGGACAAACCTCATTGCTGTATTATCCACTCTGTGCAGTGTTCATTCTTTACATTTTCATTTAGTCTTGACCATAAGCTACATGCTACCCAAACCAGCTTTTTTTATATATATTAAGATACTACAGGAAGGCTTTATTTCTTTGCATATATGTTTATTTATTTAAAACAAAGTCCTGCCTAAAAACATTAGCTGTATGACTGGCTTTTCAATCTACATGAATAGTTGAAAACCTGAGTACAAAACTTTGCAGGGGGATGGATTTATCTTGGAGCAACCATCAACAGCAGGATGCAAAAATCTTTTGCTAAACAAAGCAAAAATCAACAGTGCTGATTCTGACTTTGTGGCAAAGCCCAGCGGGACATGCTACAGCAGTGAGGAAGAGAGCAGACATACCAAAATACCTCGAAGGCTGCCTCACACATCATTCCCTAGTGCTCTTTCAGATGAGGATGGTGTGTGCTGACCCAAACTTACCGTTTTCCACAAGCATACCTGAGCATGGAAGGCCTAGGCGTTGGGTTTTTTGATGTTTTCAGTCCTTGCCAGGCATGGCAGGACAGTCAGATAGAGTCTTTTCTGTTGCTTTTGTAGTATTTTTCTGAGTACCCTCTTCAGAGAGCGGGAAGAAGGAGGATACAGGTGAAAGACAGCAGTACGCTGCCTCACTTCCAGGGTTGACCACTGCATAGGTTCGGTTTATTGTCAAATATCCATCATGAAAATACGTGTCCATCTGGCAGCCCACAGGAGGGCTGTGAACTTTTGCATCCTGGTTGCTTGGAGATAAACTTGGCTCTGCTTTCCTCCAAGTTTTCAGTCCCATTCAACCATTGCTCATGCACCAAAGGTCTTTTTTGCTGGCAGACTTGTTGTTATTTCAGTTGTTTCTTTTATGCATCTTGCTGAGGAATATGGGTGAGACAGTGCTAAGTAAAGTCTCCTCCACACCCAGTTTATGAACATGTCTTCGATAGGTGGAAGATTTCAATCTCATCCACAATCCTTCCCCCTTCCTAAGCAAGGCTGCTCTTTCTGCAAGGTTCAGCTCACTCATCTCCTGCTCTGTTTTCCAAATCACCATGTGCTGGGCTTGTCAAGCAAGGCATACACACTCCTCAAATCTAAATTCCCCATTTGCTGTACAGGGAATTCCCAACCCTGAAGGCTGAAATCAGTTTAGTAGGAACAAGTCACTATGAATTCCTGTTTGCAGGACAAGGAGACCTTTTCAGAGTTTCTGTGCTTCATGTAATAAGGACTTGATTTGTATTATGTACAGTCAAAATGAATGGCAATAATACATTGCCGTAGAAGGAGCGTGGTAATGTGTTTGCCAGACTGTTACTGCTTGGGTGGGATTCGGTCTGAGATCAAACCACCTCCTTGAATATTTCTGCATGTGAGCTACATCCTTTGGCTCCTGTAACACTCCACACGCTCCAGGGCTCACTTTGGTTACCCTAACATAGGTGCTTAGTGCTGTTTCAGTCACGTACAATGTCCCACCTGGTCTCAAGCTGTGGCTGCAAGACAGTCTAGCCCCCCATAGCCCCATGTCGTACCTGCCAGCTGGGAACAGGGGCCCTGTGCACTTGACAGCTTCTCCAGTGGCACCAGGCTCTATGTGTAGGCACCTCAACCCAGCCTGGGTTGATGCAAGCAGTCATTTCACAGGGATGTGTCATTCAGTTGCCTAAACTTATGCATTTAGTGCCACGCTGGGATATCCGGGACAGTCATGTGGCTTTGGCAAGTGTAACGCACTGCAGAGACCTTCCTTCTGGGGTGGCAGATGGAGGCCAAGTGGGAGACTATGGCCCACGTCAAATAGCAGCAGATGCCCATGCTTAGGCTACTGGATCACACTCTGCTCCATGCTCAGTATGGTTCCATCTGCCTTACGGTACATTTGCATCACTCTCTAGTCTCCATTGACTCCATCTCTATTGACTGCAATGGGAACTTAAAAACCAACCCCACATCTCATGCATCCTAATCTTAAACTGAATTTCCTCCTTGCTTCCAGGAACAGCCAGAAACTGCAGATGTGGCCTCGTAAGAAAGTGGATGTCAGGGGTAGAGTAAAGACAGAGAGGAAGAGAGATCCTTCCCTAAGCTAGATGGAAGTAGCCCTGCTGGGATGTCTGATACCACTAGGGATGGGCACAGATTTAACATCTAGGTTTGCTGTCTCAGCAGTGCCACATCACTGGAGGCAGCAGAGCCAGCGTGTTCACAATGCAGCATGGCACTGAGATGCCACAAGCACCAGCAGCATAGCCACTCTGGTGCAATGCTGGTGGCTAGTCCTGCCCTGAGCAGGAGTTATTAATTTCAGTACATCACTACATCCATCCAGATATTCCAGTTCCAGTTCCACAGTCAGCATAGCTGGAGCTACTTGCACATGCCCAAACCAGTTGGAGACATATTTATGCATAGGGCAATCCAAGCACATCGTCCTGCATCACCTCCCCACCTCTCCCACGAATCCTCACAGCCACTCTGAACAGACTGTTGTCATTTAAGAAGATGGAAACTCAGGGGAATCCAACACAGAAGCCAGGCATAAATTAAAGATGCTTTGAGCTATTATTACTGCAAGTGGTTTGAGTGCCTCCAGACACAAGCTCAGTCTCACATGAGAGCTTTCAGTTTATGACACTGGAAGAACAAACCATTTCTGTGGCACTGATGCTCTAGACAAATATTTGTTTCTGTGATATGCAAGGTGAAGGATGTCTTAGGAAAGAATACCTTTGTTTCAGTGCCAGTTCTCTAATGCTTCTCTTTAATGACAGCCAGATTGCAGAGGCTGCACCAGCGGAGTTTTTATCAAAACCTGTTTTGCATGAGAAGTCATTAGTCACATGAACTAATTTTAGCAGCCTGAAATTTCCTGTTATTCCAGTTGCAATATTTCTCCATTTGAACCAGTGTCACTGTTGAGCTCGGCTTTTTACTTATCACAAGGTAGTTCTAATAATGTGTTCAGCTTAAAAACGTAAAGTGGAAGAAGAGCAAGAGACTTCACTGGATTCCCAGCAGCTGGATTTTGGACCTGTCTGGGTTGCATGAGGGGGCTACAAAAGTTTGGGGAGCTAAAATACTGATTGCATGCATTCCTGATATAGAGAAGATTAAGTTAATTTACGTAAAAAATAGAAATTCATGTTCCAAAGCTGG